ACCTGCACACAGGTTAGCATACATATGCAGCCTGCTCAGTTCCCAGCAGGTAATCTCTTCTGTGAGAAGTACATTTCAGTTAGAAAGAAAAGTCCCTACAATGCACCTATTGTGAAGTGTAGCTAATGTGTCATTCATGTACAATCATAAACAGCTTTAAAAGCACATTGATTTTGTTTATTTTCATTTGAACATACAGTTATTTCTTGAAATAACTGGGAAACAGCAATCAAGAGAAAGCAGTTGATTAGCAATTTAAAGTAAAGCAAAATGGAAACATTTTTCATATACTTTCAAGATTTATCCTAAGTGCCTCCTGTTAAAACAGTATTGCTTACAGTAGCAGGCTGCAGTGATTCACTGCCATATTAATATGCATTGCTGAGTATAAGCAAAATCTATATTCAGTTACATAAGATTTCATTGTTTTACTGCTGATGGCCTTTTCTTTGAACATAAGCTTTTTGTTGCACATGACATCATAGCCCATTAAAACATGAAACTTCTTGGACTAATGTCAAAGACACATCCCCAAGGTCAATGAAATTATTCAAACTTGAAGTACGAAAGAAGGCAGGGGAATAAAGCACTCAAGAGCTTGAGGTATTTTGAGGACTTGGACCATAGCATCTTCTCTGACTGACTAATTGCTTTCCAGATTGCAGATTCTCATTTGTGACATTAAAAATTTTCATTTCAAACAATTCTCATGTATATGGTGTGTGTGTATATTTATACACGTTTATACCCATATGAGAGTAGGCTAGAAAGAAAATAGGTAAAAATGTAGTAATTTACAAGGCTCTGTCATAAGAAAGTTCTGGTTGGCCATTGCAAAGCTTGATTCCTATTTGTTGAACAAATGGTAATTTTTGAAAATGATGATTTTTTACATCTAGGAATTCTGTATTTTTTATAAAGGCTCTTATAAGTAGGAAGATACTTCAAAACATATTTATTGTGTATTTTTTTTTATATATTTTTGAAATTAGTGGTTATTTTTTAGGTCTAGTCAAACTATCTTCAGATGTGTGCCAATCAACTCTCTTGAGCCACTTTAAAATCTGGACTCTTTTTCCAAAATCTGGTGTGTACTGCAAAAAAGTGACACTGAGGATGATTTAGGAAGCCCCATTTTCAAATCATAACAGATAATTGCACTCTGAGGATAGTGTGATATTTTCCATTTCATGAATGATATATGAAACTAAGGGTTTCCTATGTTTCTTGATTAAATAGTTTTCAGAATAAATTGAAATTGTCTCAGCACACTGTCAGATAAATATCTTTTCACTATCCATAGTTTATGTTGATAAATGCCTTTAAAACTATTCCTTGGAAAGCACTTCATTTCTATACTAATTATAGCCATCTTTCTCTTTTGGAAAGGATTACCATAGTTGGTCAAAGGATCCTCACATACAGATGTTATATCAGATAGAATCTGATAGTCCTCCTTATGCTCATAAATATTTGTAATTCATAGAACCTATAAACAGTTCCACTGTGCCTTCATGCCTGGAGCTGGCAGGATAGTTAAAGCTTCACTGTGTAGGACTGTATGATCCTAATGTGCTCTCTATCATCTGAGATGATAAGATAGAATTATCTGTCCAGAATTATGGTAGATGATCAAGAAATTAGTGCCAGAAGCATTAAGCATCAGAGATAAATATTATACTGGTGTATACTGCCAGCCATATCAAAGAAGAAAAAAACAAACAGCCCAAAACCATCCTCCTCAATCAAACAATCCCCTCAAAACCGTCAATGAAATTATATATATGTACTTATTCAGTGTATTTATGCAGGAATTATTTACAATATAAGTGAAAAGCATCAAATCAAATTGTGTCAAATAACAAAGCTCACATTCCTCAGGGTTGTTATGTGAGGTTAAAACACACATCTCCCTTTCTAAAATTAAATAAATACTGAAACAAACAATGATGGAATTTACTAGAACTAATCAACATGTTTAGAGTCTGGCCTGTGACAGATCTTGGCATTCCCAGTTTTCTGAGAAGGCATATAAATAGCTGGTCATATTCTCTCTGATCAAAATGAAGTCATGACAAGATGATAGTGTCTGAAACTGGCACTGAGCTGTGATCCTGAGTGACCAACTGTAAAACTGTTCCTCTGTCAGATTTTGTGTATTGTAGACTATGAAGGAACTAGAAGAAGGTCATCTTGTCAGATAGCTAGCATTAAGGTTTTATGCTACAAAAGTGAGATATTGCACCAGAAAAGTTTAAAATTGAAAGTGACAAATATATGATTCCACTGAAGTTGTTTATGTGCTTATAGCAGCAAAGAGGTATCAAAACCTACTCACCTTTCCTCCATGTTAGAGGAGCGATCATAATTTTTGCTGACACATGCTGTTATTGGGATACCTTCTTGTATTGATGTAAAGGTCATTTTTTTGAGAAGATATATTTATGTTCAAGAAAAAGAAGAAGCCCTAGAAAAGAGTACACAGATGGTTTCACTCAGTGGAATCTAATGTGGGCTTAAAGCATCTGTTCTGAGAAAACAACTGCTGAAGAGAATGGGATTATATGGGATTTGGCTTGTTGCCATAGGTGGCACACTGATTTGGGTTGCTGCAAAACACAAATGTGATATCTTTGGAACACTGACGATGCCTCTGGAAACTGCAATCAGTGCGGTCTTCTGAAGATATTTTGGAAGAAGCTCTTGAAAAATCTGGAATTTAGGGAACTAAAGCCTCCACCAGTATAAATGAGTTGATTTGTTCTTCCATTTTATAATTTTGTCTGATAAAGTTTTAAGTCTGGGTTTGGTCCATATTTTAAAGACACTGAAAATTGGGCTTTAGCTTGTGACTCTTTCTGTCCATAGGGTTGATTTCAGGCAACACTCAGTTCAGTAATTTGGCCTGTCACCCTCGGATACATGAGGGCCCACAATTAGGGAGTCAGCATCCATTCAAGAAATTGGTCAGCCTAGCTTTAAATGGAGATTTCAGGTCATATCCACATTTCTGGGATGAGCAAGAGCAGTAGATCTAGACAGTGGAAAGGATTGGACAGGATGCCTTTGCTTACACAGCAGGGGTGTGAGATGAGGTGAAAGGAAGCGTTCCCCTGACCATTCTGTCTATGTCACTGGCTGACATTAGGTGGGCTCCTGCAGTATCTTTGGCTCACTTGATTCTGAGAATACAACTTGTGTGCTCTGCAATGTAACCCAAAATATGGTAAGTGGGGGCACATGGGAGATCAAAAATTAATTCCTGATCGGAATGAACACTGATGTAAATATATCCTCAGAGCACAGAACTGGAATTCAGTATTGGAGGGGTGGTATACCTTAAAGGAACCAGAACTACTTTATTCTCATCCCCAAATCATACTATTGACTTCTCTATTGTCACAGTGGACAGGGTATCTGGAGCAGAGAAAAAAGAGCTGTGACCTATTTCCCCTATTTCAGTTGATGCCCCATTCATGTACATCTGATCCCAGTTCAGCCAGCCTGGTTTAAAGTTTTCATGTGGAAAGAAATTAAATCCTTTGCTTTCTCAGTGTTCTGTCAAGAGTAGTTTCAAGTACTGTGGGTATTTGATGACTGCAGGTCAAAATATCTAGAATTTAGGACCCTTTTAGTCAATGTAAATATGTAATAGCTTCCAGGAATAACTCAGGTGACTTAAACTGAAAGCCTAATGAGTAGTCTTTGTATTTTTTTTAATGAATGTTAGTACATGAACCCCAAGTTGTTATAATAAATGTAAAGAATTAATTTTAGCCCTCTTTTCCAAATACAGACAGGCTTCTGACTGCTAACATTGCTGCCAACAGGTCAAAGGACAAAACTCAAAATTGAGACTGAGAAATAATAAATATTGGAAAAAAGTAAGTGGGAACATCAAATTTTAATGGTCCTTATGATTTTAAACAGAACAAGAAGTGTAAAACCAAGTCTGGTTCATTGATTGGTGAAATGGTAAGGTTTTTCCAGTGTACCTGTTCACCCTGTTCCTTCCCTCAGCTGTATGGACACCTTATTATCTTCTTTTACATCATTACCAAGTTTACCTATGGATCTTCCACTAAATTTTACCACATATTCCTTTTTCTGCCCCACCAAATTGTTAATTTCTCCGTTGTAGTTCAGTCCTAAGGGAAAGAACCTGGACAAATGATCTGCTGGAATGAACTGCTTTTTGAGTACGTGGAATTTTGTTTCTAAACAACTTGGCAGTGAGCTTATTTTCCACCTCAGTGATCTTCTTTAATCACTTCTCCCATTTGGGTATCTAGTTTTTGAGGGGTTTCTCCCCCCTCCTCCTTGTCTTTTTCTCCTTCAGCTTGTGGCAATGGCACAGAATGCTGATGAGCAAGACTAATCTGCAGCCAGGTAATCATTTTGGCCACCAAACACTGAGTGCATTTCTAAAGGAAATTTGCAGGCAGAACAAACCTTTAAAGTACAGTAAAAGCATTTGATATGCACTCGTTGCAGGTGCATCCACTGAAAACTGTTCAGTGACTTGCTACAGCACTGATTGCACCAAAATTATATCCTATAGCTTTCTCTATTTTAGTACTTTTGCCATATCAGCTGCACATTAGAGTAATAAAATTGGCTTTAATGGACGTGTGAAATGGTACATTGGTGATATGCAGTGCTGAACAACGAGCACTATTATTTCCATATAATGTAAATCTTTGCCTGACTCGTCACTGGGCAAAAATTTTCAGCTGGAGTACATGCATATGGGAGATCAAGGGATCTCATGAGAGTGGGAGTTCAAACTTTGGAGGATTTATGAAGAAGAATGACCCTTAGCTAGCATTTGCTTTTATTAAAATACACATGCAAGGGTAAACATTTGAAGAGGCTGGGTCTTGTAATCCTTTTTGCATTTGAAGTATGATTTATATGAACAGCTGATTATTCAAATCTCTAACTACCAGCTTCTTCCCTGCAATCAAGTATTTAGAGTTTTATCCTGGATTCATATTTTCAGCTCAAGCGTGGGCACAAACTGAACACAAAATGGACAAGCCCCTGTACAAAAACATAACTCTAAGGGTGAGTGTGCTTTTCCTTGTTTAAGGGACAGGGGCTGTTCTTTTATTCTGATTTGAAATTTTAGATATACAAGAGTCACACTGACAAAAATTTGGGAGCCTTGTCTGATCTAAGGTAGTATGTTTTTCTTAGGAGCATTTGACTAGGTTTGTTAGAAAAAAAAAAAGAAAAAAAAAGAAGGGACTTTACTTATGACTTTACAGAAACTCATGACATCTTTCATCACTGTTATTTTACATTTTCCTAAATATTATTTTTTGGGGGGTTTTTGTGTTCACTACCACAACATGAGAGTTTATTTTATAATAATCTTTTCATTTTTTATTTCGCAAGTAAAAACATCATTTTGTTTTAGTAGTATGTTACAATAGAAAGTCGATAGTAAGGAAGAAGATTGCCAATATGATAAAGTGAGTGCACAGACAAATTTGACAGAGGTGATCTGTATTTTGCTTTCAACATCCTTGCACTAGGAATGAGGCACACAATGATTTGGAATTAAAATGTGCACCCAACAGAGACTTCTAGCCCTAAGATCGTGCTGCTTGTTGGTTAGATTATCACTTGCTACAAATAAATCAATATTATTCTTTCTTCTTCACCATCTTTCTAAATAGTTCAGGAGAATGTATTTCAATTATGGGTCCCTACTAACTTGAGATAACTCTTGATTCCATGAACAGATAGTCTCCTTCAGAACCTTAATGTTTCTGTTATTCTTTACAATTAAGAACAGACTGATGACAGTGTACTGTATATATATATATAACACACACGCACACACACAAACACACACACACACACATATATATATATACATATCTATATCTATATATATATATATATATATAATATTTTTTCATCCTTATGAAATGAAATTTTGGATTTTCTGAATGAGGGTCCGAAAGAAAAGAAATACTGCTCATTTAATATGCTCAGAGCTATAACTGATTTTCCCAGATTGGCAGCCTGTAGTAGCACTACTCTTGAAAAGGAGGTTCTTATTGGATAATATTAATAGTGTCATGGGAAAATATGCCAGCCTTAGAATCATGGGGAAATGCAGATCCAGATATGCTACTTTGTTATGAACTAGTAACCAGGTAAAGGGGTGATATTTGGGGAGCACAGGATTCTCCAAGAGAAAAGACACATGCAAAGTGTGCTGGGGACAAGAATAGGGAAGTTTAGCCCTGGAAGTCTGCTTGCTGAAGGAATTAGACCTAATCAAGTGACATACACACACAATGAGCTGAATTCAAACTTAGATAAAAATATTACGTAGAAGTTTCTTCTATATTTGGAGTACTGAAATCCAAGAACTGCCAAAAATAACAGCTTGCTGACACAGGAAAAAACGTTTGCTAGAGGAACATACCAAAAGAAAAAAAAAAGTCCTCATCATTTAATGTTTTCCTTCCTTCCTTCCACCCTTCCTTCCTTCCTTCCTTCCTTCCT